ATAAGGAAGGGGAAGACGTGAGTCACTCTGTCACGAGCCTTTTCTCTTAGACACAGATCTCTAACAACAGATTCTAACTTCAAATGGATTAGAAAAACCGTATCAGAAAGGATTCCAGGTGACTTTCGAAACTTGGGTTGACAAGGATAGTATAGTACACTAAGAATACCTGCTTGTTTTAGTTCCTGCCACTAGCTGTGTGACCTCGTACTAGTCCCTTAACCTCTCTGGGCCTCCTGTTTTCTGCCCCACTATAGCAGGGACGTAACCCTCCTCTAAGTTGCCTCGCTAGGGGATGTGAGGCTCAAAGGAAAGAAGAGAAGCAGAAATGCTTTGAAAGGAAAACACATCATATAAATAAGAGGGATTATTACTAAAATCCAGTCACCTTCAACAGTACCTTGCTGATAACACACTTGCTTGGAAAACCAAGGTCTTCACATCCACAGGACTTCTCTGAGAAGGCTTGTGAATCCAACGGGGGAACGGAGGATTGGCTGGTCCCATTCATCATCGGGAGCTGGGCCAGAGCCCCCCAGCCGTAATTATACCCCTGCAGCATCCTCACCCTGGTGCTTATGACTGAGGAGCAATTTCCGTTTTACACAAGAGTAAACTGGGACTTAGGTTTAAATAACTCACCCAAGTGGCAGAGCTGGTATTGGGCTCAACTAGAAAACGACGGAGCCAAGACATGAACCAACATCTTTCTAACCCAAAGTATATTTCTGGGGGTCTTAGCTCAAATTACTAATTAGCCAAGGACTCTTTGTACTCTAAGAAAGATTTTTTTCCGTGATGTAGGTCAAATGCCACCGGACCATACATTTCGTAAGGACAAGAATTTTATCCTTTTTTCTGAATCTGTGGGCACTGGCTCCAAGCAGTTGTTCCATAAACACATGTAGGCGGAATCTTTCCACTCTGTGGGAATGAATCTGCTTCCCCAGTTGGACGTGACCTTCAGGAAAACAGGTGCATGTGTTGGTTATCAAAACCTCCAGCCCCCACCATCCCCCCACCCCAGCCCCAGCCCAGCTCAGGAAGTCCCAGATGAATTGTTGAACGGAACTCTTCTTAGCAAAAGATTGCCAAAGGCCCAGCCTTCTGAACTCACTTAAGAAACAGCAGTCCGTGTAGCCACATTTTGATCCAGGGAATTGGGGATCACATACAATGTGATTTCTGTGCAAAGGTGCCTGGCCCTGGCCCTCTCAGTTCTCTGCTCCTCCCGATTTAAGGCTCTCCTGGGTTTGCCTCCACGTACTCCGGCGGTGGGAAGAGCACTGGATCCACAGTTGAGGCCCGGGACCAGCTCCCAGCACTCCCCATTACCAGCTGGGGGCCATAAGTGGGTCACTTTACCTCTCTGTTGTCTGTTTCCTCGCCCACAGATGGATGTGCTTCTTGCCCCTAGGGCCACGGGAAGAGCTGAGCAAGCTGGTACCAGCCCTGGACTGTGGGCTGAGGTGCAGAGAAGAGTGAGAGTAGGTCTGCACCCTCAGGGAGTAGGGGGGTGCAGGTGGTGCTCCTAGCTAACCTAAAAGATTTCCAGTGTGTCCTGGCCAGATCCACAGCTCCCCAGGCCCCACTTGCAGTTAGTCCTTGACTCCGCTTCCAAGCCCTGGGGCCATGTTCTGGGAAATGATGTGTCGATCCTTCCCTGGCTTCTTTCTTCACCCTCTCTTCCCACCCAGATCGCCACCAGTCACCCCCGTGGCCTCTTCTAATTGTCCCCAGGATACTCGGCTCTCTCCAGCCTATGTCCACTGGCGCCTGGCCCTGTGGGAAGTGCTGTATACCCCAGCGGTGGGGCCCTAACAGATTCCCCCCGACTTACTCTGCTCACTTCTAGGTCAGGTGTGATCAAGAGTCTACTCTCTTCGCACCATTTATAAAGTCAGTTGCAGAAGAACTAGCACCTCCTGGTGACAGTCAAAAGAAAATAAGTTAATTACGAAATCTGGAGAACTAACTTTTTTTTGAGTCTCTACATGTTCCGGGAAGTTAAAGCCAAAACTCATTTGCTGAGCACCTATTACGTACCAGTACTCTGCTGGCCCCCAGGATAAACAGAGAGATGAGATGAAGAGGCTAAGAACGACAGCCTGTGTGCTGTGAATACACGTGGGCAGGGAAGGGCAGGGAGGGCCTCCTAGGGGAGGTGGTGCTTGAGCCAGACACCAAAGGACATATAAGAGGCACCCAGGGTGAGACAAAAGGAAATGGAAGGGTATTTCGGGCGAAGAGACCAGCATGGAAGCACAAGAACACATGAAGCCCTGGGGGGAGCTGGAGGGGGAGCTGGGTCGAATGGGGGTGCTGGGGCCCCCGGGAAATGGGGGGAAGCACCAGAGATGAGACGGCAGAGGTCTGTGGGTGGGGCCCAGTGTCTGGAGGGCTCTGAACACTTCGGGTGGCATTTTCCGGGGGCTGTTAACGGCTAGTATAGGGAAAGTGAGTCTGGGTTCAAATAAATTGGAGAAATAGGACGTAGAAGAAGAAAAGTTAATAGGGTTTTGCCTGTTGAAGGTGGGTTTTTTGTTGCAAGACTTGGCAGCCTTTGCCAACTGGCATTGTGAATCTCCAGAAGGAGCAAGGCAGCAGACAGCATTTCCCAGACTCATCTGGCTGGGGAACCCCCTTTTCTTCCTTCATACAATACATCTACTGAGATGCACTGGGACACGCTGGCCTTCCACTGAGATGATTGAAGCTGGCGAGCGACACGACTGGGCGTGCATTATTTTTAGGTCCCCTCTGGAGCAAGTGTGGAGATGGATGGGGAGGGGAGAGGCCGGAGAGGGGGGGAGCTTGCTAACAGTCGTAGTTGCTAACGTCTACTGATGGCCCTGTGGGACGATCATGGCCAGCATGGTCTCTAAATCTTCCTGACAGCCCCCTTGGGTGGGTGGGGCCATTACCTGCATTTGCAGATGAGGAACGGGGGGCTCAGATGATTAAATCATGGGCCTACAGAAACCCAAGGGTAGGTGGGTGCTGGGGTTCAGTCCAAGGCTGTCTGACCCCAGGGGATGCCCCCGGAGCGCTCTGCTACCCCCACCAGCAGGGGTGGCAATAACTCTGTCAGAGGCAATGAGCCATGAGGACTGTGGGCTGGAGAACGGGTCGCCCAGCAGCAGAGCTGCTGTGAAGTGGGGGGGTCATGTGATGGTGGGCTGGGGGGTATGGATAAGGCAGCAGACTATGCACTGTGCAGGCGGCTCCCCTCTCCCTGTCCTTTTACTTTCCCCTGCTGAGCAGTGTGATCTGAGAGGCTCCATCCCCTTTTGCCCCATGCTTTTCCTGTAAACGGGGGTAGAAGAACTAGGGCTTAGTGGGTCGCCATGCTCATCTCACTGGGTGGCATCCCCACCCCGAGGTGGCCTCCACCTGAAGACGGGTCTGTGAGCATGGTGTGGCCCACACTGCCAACTAACAGCACAGAACCTGGGGGCCACAGTGTACCTCCCTCCAGACGTGCTCTGGATGTGCCGTGAGGGACTCCAGTCCCCTACCGAGTCCCTCCGCCCACTCTCCCACAGGCGCTGTGCTGGGCAGCAGGGGTCCAGGGACGCCTGAGACCTGGCCCCTACTCTCCAGGAGTCGGGTACAGAGAGTGAGTGCCAGGGCAGGTCTGGTATCTGAAGAATCACTCCAACCCAGTGAGACTCTAAAGCGCTGTCCGAGAGAAACACAACAGGAGGCACAATGCAAGTCACATGTGGAATTCAAAATGTTTTAGTAGCTACGTTTAAAAAGTAAAAAGAAACATGAAATTAATAATATTTAACCAAATGGCCAAAATATTTTTATTCCAGCATATAACCAATATAAAAAAATTATTGAGATGTTTTACATACTTGTTTCAAACTAAGTCTCTGAAATCCAGTGTGTATTTTATGCTTAGAGCACATCTTAATTCAGACTCACCACATGTGGCCATTGGCTGCTGAAGTAGGCAGTACAGGGCTAGACTTTGTCAAATAATAACATACCTTTGTGAACCGCGTGGCTGAATGGGGAGGAACCACCCAGAAGCCTCGAGGGGTTTGCAGAGGGTTCGTGGTCTTGGTCTCGCGTGGGTACTTACTTTCCTTACTCTGCCTGTCCATCTCCCGCACCTGTCAGGGCATCTACACGGGCAGGCAGTTGAAAGGACAAAGCTTGACTTTCAAAATAAAGGGTCGGAGGATAGAGCCGAGAAGCCTGTGCTCTCTTGGTTTTTATTCAACTCCTAATTTCAAAAGCCAAGTGTTCGGACAATTTTATTTGTTCATCAGACATTTATTTTGCAAGTATTTTTTTTCCTGAGGAATAAGGATGAGTCCCTCAAGGAAATGAACATTTGAAAGATAGTGCAGGGGGCTGATGGGAGGGAGACACTGGGTGATAAGTCCCACGTAGCTGGGGGCACGGGGCAGTGGGAGCATTGAAGGCGGCATCTGACCTACTATCTTGAATGACCAGTAGACGTTTACCAGGCAGGTTGGGATGGGGTAAGTCATTCCACCCTGAGGGGCAGGCAGGAAACAGGGCATGAGAGCCCAGGGCCATTTGAGGGTCTGCCCAGGTGAGCAAAGATGAAGGTTGGGAGGGGTCTGTGTGGGGCCCAACAGAGCCCGGGTCCAAGAGGACTTGGAATGCCAGCCCAGAGCCTTGTCACCCGAGGAGGCAGGGAGGACAGCAGACGTCTCGAGGCTTGGGTGCAACAGGGTCACATTGCATTTTAGAAGCTTCCGCTGGCCTGTGTGGAGAATGGCTGGAGGAGATCCAGACGGGAACCCTGCTGGGAAATGATTACAGTGATCCAGGCCTCAGAAATGCACGGGCAGGACCCGGTGACCAGTTGACATGGGGGTGAGAGAGAGCGGGAGGCATCGAGGACGTTCCTTGGGGTCTGGCTTGGGTAACTGGATGCTCCCTCTCATGTGCCCTGTGTGCAAATGCATCAAACCATCTCCATGTGTACTGATGTGTTAAGTTTCGCTTTAATGCAGCCACAAAGACTCCGTCCTCCCACGCGCCCGCCGCCCCCCAAGATACAGCGCTCGAGGCCCGTGAGTAGCCGCTGGTTCCGCCCTCCCGCCTAACCCTGCCTGAGCCGTTCTCCCCGCCTGACTAAACCTCGGGAGTTTGAACTCAGCTGCCTTGCAAAACCAAACCGGGAATTGGGTTTTTCAGCTTCCCTGTCTGCGTGGCATGAACCCGAACTTGCATTTTCTGGGCTTCTGTCTCCTTTTTCCTGAGCCCGTTTGGCAACTTGCAGGTCGGAGCCGTAGGTAGCCGCGAGCCACTGTGTGGTGTGTTTGCCGTGTGTGTATCATCTGAGCACGTCTCCTAGGTTGAGTCCCAGTCTAGCCAAAGAGCTTTAAAGTTGGGCTCCAACGCCTCTTCCTCACAAAGGAAGCAGAAGTCTGGCAGCAGGGGTCTCGTTCCCGCCAGACCGGGGTTTGGAAGTGCAGTTGATGTCCCTTTTGCGGGGTCAGAGGCCACGCCTAGAGAATCTCGAGCTGCCTCGGGTGGAGACTGGCCTCACCTAGAGCCCCACCCTCCCCAGTGAGGTGCCAAGTCAGGGCGGAAAAGCAGGACGACATGCGACAAACCCCGCAACACCTAGGAATGGGGTGGGCGAGGCAGAGAGACCCATCTGAGGTTTTTCAAGGCAAATGCCATGGAAAAATATGGGACCTGGGGCCCCATTTTCCTTGGAAGCTCAGACTTCAGCCATGCGGAGGCGTAACCACTGTAACAGGATCCTTTAAAGTGGGAAACTTGCCAGGACCATTTGGTGAGGGCTGTTTACCAAGAGAAGAGTTGCTCTGTCTCATTCAAAGCAGCCACCGCTCCTGCAGCCCAGCAAAAGGGGTCAGGTTCCCAGCCAGCTGCGACCAGAGTTCCCGCAAACCCACGTCCCAGCCCCCACCCTCCCCCTTACAAACGCACGTGTCCACATCCATCCCGTGACACGTGGCAGCCAAGGAGTGCAGGTGGCCAGGCCCAACCGTGTCTGTTTTTAATCCTCGATGCACACGCCCAGCCTCACTTGGGTGGCTGCTCTCTGCGTGGATGTTGGAAAATTCTGTGGCTCTGTTTTCCTTCCCTTCCCTCACCTCCCCTGTGTGGGAGTTAGAGGGCAGGGGCGGAGGTTGGTGGGGATTTAGATACTTTCATCTACAGCAGTCGTGAGTCTGCAGTTCCAGCCACGTGTGATGGATCCCTCCTGAACCCAGTCAAACCACGATTAGCCCAAACCCGATCAGCATGGCTACAGAGGGGCCGGCAGGAATGTTTCGGCTCACTGTCATTGGAAAGAAGGCACACAAACAGCAAAAAGAAGCTGCTTTGCAGGACAGGAAGCCCCTTCTGGGTCCAACCACGTGTGATTTAGTGGGAGCTTCAGGACGAGGCATTAGCATGATGGTTTGGGGGGTAGGCACAGCTAAGCTCGGGACCCAGGCTGTGTGGGCAAGTACAGAAGCTCTGAGCCTCGCCTCTCTCTCCCCTAGACACGTCTTCCCTCTCCCTAACGTGCCCTCATCCACAGAGGCTTTGACAGAGTGAACAGAGATGACCATTCTAGAGCTCGGTGTCTGGCCCACAGCAGTGGTTCTTACTCTGCTTGATGGGTTTTTAAGCCTTACAACTTCTAAGGAATGACTCGGTTTCTTAGTGACTGTCGTTTACCCAGGATTTTTTATAGTAAGCAAGTTATCCCAGCTGAGCCTCACAGTAATACTATGAAGTAGGCATCGGCTCCACCCATTTTAGAGATGAGAAAACTGATGCTTGGTAATTTAACCCAAGTCCCTCAAGTGCAGATAGGTTCACCGGACTCGAGGGCCTGTGGTCTTTCCCGCATACCGAGCTCCTGGGACTCTCCATCTGCATTTCCATGGAGTCCATCGTAGTATAAAATACTGGGGCAGTCGGGCACCTGGGTGGCTCAGTTGGTTAAGCGTCCAACTCTTGATTTCGGCTCTGGTCATCACCTCAGGGTTGTGAGATTGAGCCCCGTGTAAGGCTCCGTGCTGGGCATGGAGCCTGCTTTGGATTCTCTCTCTCCCTCTCCCTCTGCCCTTCCGCATTCCCTCCCTCCCTCCCTCTCTCTAAAAAAAATAATTTCTCTCTCAAAATAAATAAAATTTTTAAAGGGTGGGGTAGGGCGCCTGCGTGGCTCAGTCGGTTAAGCGTCCGACTCTTGATTTCAGCTCAGGTCATGATCTCAGGGTGATGAGATCGAGCCCCACATCTGGCTCCATGCTCCATGGGGAGTTTGCTTGAGATTCTCTCTCTCCCTCTGCCCCTCCCCCACTCATGCATGCATGCACATGCTCTCTCTCTCTCTCAAAATAAAATCTTTAAAAATAATAA